CCAAAGGTAAACTTAGATACATAATTGATGACAGTTGGCTGTCTGAATCCATTAAGTTTATTCAAAGCATAAATGTTTAAGCATGTGTTAAATATTTCTGTCCTTATGAATACGTATGGCATGAGCAATGGTGTAGTCAAGTTCAATGGGCTCAATTATGATGATTGGGCTGAACAAGTTCAATTCCAGTTATGTGTTATGGACTTAGACCTAGCAATCATTATGGAACAAGAGCCTGCAGCCATCACAGAGACTAGTACTGAAGAGGAAAAGACTCTTCGTGAGGCTTGGGAAAGGTCAAAAGACTGAGCTTGAACTTGCGAAAGATTACTATGGCTGAAAATGTAAAACCATCAATGCCAAAAACTGAAAATGCTGGAGAATTTATAGCAAAGGTAAAAGAGTATGCACAATCGGACATTACTGACAAGTCCGTGTCAAGTTCCCTATTGACTGAACTGACTACTAAGAAGTTTGATTGGTCACGGCTTATTCATGACCATGTGATTGACATGATCAATCAAGCGACAAAGTTAAAATCAATGGGCATGGAGGTAAAAGAATTTTTTCTAGTATAGTTCATTTTGAACTCATTCCCTCATGAGTTTGGTCAGTTCCAGGTAAATTACAACATCATTAAGGATAAATGGAACATTCAGGAGATTAAGGTCATGCTGGTTCAGGAGGAAGGGAGACTAAAGAAGGTGAAAGAGCACTTCGTCTATCTCACATTTCATGAAGGGACTAGTAGTAGCAAGGCTAAGCCAGGTAAAAAGGACAAGAAGGATAATTTCTTATTAAAGGTTCGTGAAGGTCGAATCCAGAAGGGTCAGAGATGCTTCTTCTGCAAGAAGACTGGTCATTTCAAGAAAGATTGTCCGAAGAGAAAGGTTTGGTTCAAAAGGAAAGGTATATGTTATGTTTCAGTATGCTTTGAATCAAATCTTATTGAGGTACCTAAAAACACCTGGTGGTTAGATTCTGGTGCAACTACTCATGTGTCACATGTAATGCAGGGATTTCTTTTGATCTAGCCTATAAGCGGAACTGAAAAATTCTTGTACATGGAGAACAGAATGAAGGCACGGATAGAAGGAATAGGGACTTACAGATTGATCTTGCATACTAGTTGTTGCATAGATCTAGAAAAGTGTCTCTATATTCCTGAATGTGCTAGAAATTTGGTTTCTGTTGCAAAGTTAGACGAATTTGGTTTTAATTTTAAGATTGGAAATGATACATTTTCTTTATATAAACACTCGTACTATTTTGGATCTGGTACATTAATTAATAGTTTATATCGTTTCAATCTTAATGTTAAATTTGCTGAATCTCTGTTTCATGTTGAGAATGCTGTTAGTAGTAATTTGAATGTGCGTAATGAATGTTCTGCTTTCTTGTGGCATCAAAGGTTAGGTCACATATCCAAAGAAAGGATGATGAGATTAATGAAAAGTAAAATTTTACCTCAGTTGGATTTTGTTGACTGGGATGTATGTGTGGATTGTATTGAAGGAAAACAAACCAAACACACATCAAAAAATCCAGCCACAATAAGTAGTCAACTCTTAGAGTTGATACACACTGATATTTGTGGTCTGTTTGACGTCCCATCTTGGGGTGGTGAAAAATATTTTATTACCTTTATTGATGACTACTCACGTTATTATTATCTGTATGTATTGCATGAAAAATCTCAATCAGTGGATGTCTTACAGGTGTTCATTGATGAGGTGGAAAGACAACTAGATAGAAAGGTAAAGGTTGTGAGGTCAGATAGAGGTGGTGAATATTATGAAAAATCTGATGAAAGTGGACAATATCCAAGTCCATTTGCGAAACTTCTAGAAAGTCAAGGTATATGTACACAGTATACTGTGCCTGGTATACCACAACAAAATGGTGTGACTGAAAATCGGAATTGTACTATCATGGAAATGATTAGGAGTATATTGAGTTACAGTTCTGTACCTATGTCTTTGTGAATGTACGCGTTAAAGATCGTTGCATATCTGCTTAACAGAGTATTAGAGAGATTCTATTGTCCTAACCATAGTATGAGAATAGTTGAGTCTGAAAATGTAAGGTTCATTGAAAATGGTCAGTTTAGTGGGAGTGGTGAAACACGAAAGGTAGAAATTATAGAGACACATGTGGAAACTCCTGTAGTTGGTGTCTCTTCTCAAGTTGTTGTTCCCTTTGTTGTATCACGGTCACACAACATAAAGAGACAAGTAGTTAATGTTCCAAACCCATAAGAACAACATATAGAGGATGAACCAGCTGACAATGCGCAAGTCACAAACGAGCTAAAGGAAGCTAAACCACAAGAGTTAATGTTGAGGAGGTCTGTAAGGTAGAAAAGACCTGTCATTTCAAATTATTATGTGGTTTACTCACTTGCACATGAATATGACTTGAGTATTGATGAGGATCCAATCTTATTTAAGCAAGCCATGGAATGTTACAATTCTGAAAAGTGATTGAATGTCATGAAAGAAGAGTTAAAATCAATGAGTGACAACAAGGTATGGGATCTAGTCGAGTTGCATGAAGGTTCAAAACGAGTCGGTTGCAAGTGCGTCTTTAAGACCAAACGTGACTCAGAAGGCAACATTGAGAAATACAAGGCTATACTTGTTGCTAAAGGATACACTCAAAAGGATGACATAGACTATAAAGAGACCTTCTCTCTGGTTTCAAAGAAAAACTCTTTAAGAATTGTTGTGGCTTTGGTAGCTCATTATTACTTAGAGCTTCACCAAATGGATGTAAAGACCGCCTTTCTGAATGGTGACTTGGAAGAGGAAGTTTATATGGATCAGTCAAATGGCTTCTTGACCACAGGTAAAGAAAGTCTAGTGTGTAAGTTAAAGAAATCAATATGTGGGTAAAACAGGCTTCCAGATAATGGTATCTTAAGTTCAATGATACCATCACGTTATATGATTTTATAGAGAACACCGTTGACCGGTGTATCTATATGAAGGTTAGTAGGAGCAAGTTCATCATTTTAGTCTTGTATGTTGATTTGCATTCTTCTTGCTACTAATGATGTTGGGTTGTTGCATGATGTAAAGGAGTTTCTCTTTAAGAATTTTGAAATAAAAGATATGGGTGAGGCCTCCTATGTGATTGGAATAGAAATATTCCGTAACAGATCATAAGGATTACTAGGATTGTCTCAGAAAGCCTACATCAACAAAGTATTAAAGAGATTCAAAATGAAAAAGTGTTCATCAGGAGTGGTTCCAATTCAAAAGGGAGACAAGTTTAGTGAAATGCAATGTCCCAAGAATGAGTTGGAGCGGAAAGTAATGGAATCTATTCTCTATGCATCAGTGGTCGGGAGTTTAATGTATGCTCAGACATGCACTTGGCCTGATATCAGTTTTGCTGTTGGAATGTTAGGCCGATATCAAAGTAATCCCGGAATGGACCATTAGAAGGCTGCAAAGAAAGTCCTTAGGTATTTACAAAGCACCAAGGACTACATGCTTACTTATAAGAGATCTAGTCACCTGGAAATGATTGGCTACTCGGATTCAGACTATGCTGGATGTGTAGACTCAAGGAAATAACCTTTGGCTACATCTTCTTGTCGGTTGGAGGTGCGATTTCATGGAAGAGCGAAAAGGAGTCCATTATTGTTACGTCTACCATGGAAGCGGAATTTGTGGCGTGCTTTGAGGTCACTATTCATGCTTTGTGGCTGCGAAACTTTGTCTTAGGGCTTGGTGTCGTTGATAGTATAGAAAAGCCACTAAGAATATACTGTGATAATTCTGCAGCCGTCTTCTTCTCTAATAATGATAAATATTTAAAGGGAGCAAAACATATGGACTTAAAATACTTATCAGTGAAAGAAGAAGTGTGGAAACAGAAAGTGTCTATTGAGCATATTAGTACTGATTTAATGACAGTAGATCCGCTAACTAAGGGATTGCCCCCTAAAACGTTTTCTGGCTATGTTGGTAGAATGGGCATTATAGACAAGTCTTTGTTAACATGATTGTGTGATACACATATATGTGTATAGATTGTTTTGCTTATATTATTGCAGACATTTTTGGAAATTCAATAAAAGTATTATCTCTGCTTGTTTACTTGTTATCTGAATTGTGTTAATGTACATGTATGATTTGAGTTTGATAACAGGTTGAGTGTTAAAAATACATCAGAGTTACAGTCTGTAGAATGACTGATTAATGCTATTTTGATTTGAGTTGATTCTATGATACTTACAAGGAATCATGTCGTTAAATGACTTGTGACCGCCATGATCCGATCAACTTAAATCATGAAAAGATGATGACTTGATATTATCAATGATATGTGCACTTACAGTTCATTGAATCTTCAAGTCGTCACATAGGCCAAGTAAGAGATTATTATATTCTTTTAATAATCTTATTATTGTGGCTTATGTAACTTATATCATGACTCTAATTAATGATTTAATGTGATGGTGGTTAAATATAAAATATAGAGTCATAGAGGGTATAATTGTAAATACAATTATAAGGAAACCCTTCCTTATCCCTTCAGATAAATAAAAGAGCAGTTACCAAATAGGGGTTGCAACATTTTCTATTTTCTATCACTTTCACGGTCTCTAAGTGTGCTCACGGTAAACGCAAGAAAGAAACTTTCTCTCAACCATCCGAGAGAAGCTAAAAGAGAAAGGAAGAGTTGTGGAAGATACAAAGGGATCAACAATATCTAAAAAAGAGGTAACATAAAAGAACAATGAATTCAAGTTAGTGCTCTTTAAACCCTTAATTGTATGAGAACCATGTATTGTATTATGAGAACAACGTAATTCAAGATCTAATAAAAAATGATAATTTCATAATAGTCATTGCATAATGAAAATTACATAATGGATTAAGAAAATTTTAACACTGTAGCCTACAACTACAAGAGTTAGTGAACCAGGTAATACAAACTCTGAACCAGCACCATTACTTGAGAAAGTTATTAGATTTAACAACAATATAATGTACAAACTAGGACGCCAAAACATCGTGGCTGATGCATTCTTAAGGCAATATAATGACATTGATTTCCTCACTAGCCTACATATCATCAATTGCAATCTGCACAATGAATTGCACAAGGCACTACCGGAAGACTTAGTAACTAGCTCCTTATTGGACAATCTGCAATTAGATAGCTCCAACAGATTATCAACTCGAGATGATATCTTATACGACCAAGACCATATTTATGTTCCTGCCATAGGCGACTTGAGAACTCTACTCCTGCGTGAGTTCTATAACACACCTCTAAGAGGGCATGTTGGAGTTCCTAAGACATATTCACGACTAACAAAGAATTTTAATTGGCCATTGATGAGGAAGGACGTCCAAGAGCTAGTATATGGCTCAATGTACCATATGCCAACAAGTCAAACTACCAACCGAACACCTTAAAAGGGTGACTTCAACCCGTGCCCTACCTAAATGACTCATAGTAGGATATCTCTATGGACTTTGTGACATCACTCCCCTATGTCCAATGGTTTTAACTGCATCCCCATCAAGTGGATTGATTTCCAAAGATTGTTCACTTTAGGGCTCTTTATTCGGGTTACGCAGCTCAAATTGTGGTAGATCTGTTCCCTGAGATTGTGGTAAAGCATCACAGATTCCCAAGGTCAATTGTTTTCGATAGAGACCCATTATTCATTAGCCCTTCTGGCACTAATTGATGAAGTAATGCGAAATCCTACTTAAATTCAACAATGCTTATCATCCGCAAATAGACGGACAAATTGAAGTTATAAATATATACCTCAAATAGTATCTAAGGACGTTTGCCTACCATGAACCAACACTGGGGCATTGATACTTAAAATGGGCAGAATTTTCCTATAATACAAGCTGCCACTAGGGACAAAACTTTCTCCATATCAGGTGGTATAAGAGAAATCATCCCCTTTGTGGCCTAGCTACTCACAACAATCTGACATTGCAAGAACTTTGGAGGATACTCTACAAGTCAAGACAAAGATCAAACAACTATTGCGCAACAACTTATAATAAGCACAAGCTCACATGAAACAGCTAGTAGATGGCAGCCGCAAAGACTACGCTTTCTTAGTCAGAAACTATACCTGGCTGCGCATCTTGCCCTATAAGCGTACTACAACCTGTCCTAACGAACATTCAAAGATTGAACTTAAATTCCATGGGCCTTTCCGCAGTTTACAACAGATAGGCCAAGTTGTGTATCGTCTATTATTACCCACAAACTACAAAATACACCTTGTATTCCATATCTCCCTATTAAAATCATATGTTGGATCAATCATTCGCGACACTGGCCTATCCCCAACGTCCAACCCACCCTCTAAAATGCCAATTCCTATGTTATGCACCTTATCAAATGGTAGTGTTGACAAAACAAGGGTCTTAGTTGAATGGGAAAGACAAGCCCAAGAGAACGCAACTCGAGAAGATCTTGAACATCTAAGGAGCTGTTTCCCATGTCTTAATCTTGAGGACAAGGTTGTTGTTGACGGAGTGTGTATTTGGGATCCGGATTCTCTCCAATTCACGCGGGAACTGGACGTCTAGTCGTTTTTTCGCTTAAGCAAAAAAATTTGCTTAAGCGAAAATAGGTTATTTTCGCTTAAAATCATGACAAAATGGCTTAAGCCAATTTTCATAAAACAAATGACTTAAGCGAAAAAAAATGGCTTAAGCGAAAATAATAGGCTTAAGCGAAAAATGGAGAGAGAGTTTTAATTTTCACTCAATTTTCTCTTCTCCTTTCCCGTAAACATAACATTTTCTCCTCAACAATATTCCGGTACTCTACCGGTTATTACTTGCAACAGAACCAGTATACTTGCCGTGTTTGAAGGAAAATAAACCAACACTCTTATACTTAATTCTTCTCTTTCCTTCCTAACTCTCTTTTCCTTCAACCTCATACCTAACTCCTCTCCTCCTCTTCTCATTCTCACATCACCAAATACCTATCTCTCCCTTTTTTCTCTATACTCAACTCTTCAATTTCCTCTTCTTCCACCGTCACTACTATATCATCCGCTCTCCTTGTCTACATCCATTCTTAATCCTCTTTTTTCTCTACACTCAGCCTTCATATCTTCAAACACACAAAATTCACTTAAGATAAAATAATTCACTTAAGCGAATACACAATTCGCTTAAGCCAGAAAAATTAGCTTAAGCTAATTTTGCATAAAAAAATTTTGGCAGTAGAGGAAGAAGAAAGTGAAGAGTTGATTATAGAGAAAATAGAGGATAAAGAATGGATGTAGACAAGGAGAGCGGGTGATATAGTAGTGACGGTGGAAGAAGAGGAAATTGAAGAGTTGAGTATAGAGAAAAAAAGGAGAGATAGGTATTTGGTGATGTGAGAATGAGAAGAGGAGGAGAGGAGTTAGGTATGAGGTTGAAGGAAAAGAGAGTTAGGAGGGAAAGAGAAGAGTTAAGTATAAAAGTGTTGGTTTATTTTCCTTCAAACACGGCAAGTATACTGGTTCTGTTGCAAGTAATAACCGGTAGAGTACCGGAATATTATTGAGGAGAAAATGTTATGTTTAGGGGAAAGGAGAAGAGAAAATTGAGTGAAAATTAAAACTCTCTCTCCATTTTTTGCTTAAGCCTATTATTTTCGCTTAAGCCATTTTTTTTCACTTAAGCCATTTGTTTTATGAAAATTGGCTTAAGCCATTTTGTCATAATTTTAAGCGAAAAAACGACTGGACATCCAGTTCCCGCGTGAACTGGAGAGAATCCGGATCCTAACTTTTGTCATGGTAAGTTTAGTGCAATATGCCTTGACTCTGCGCCTTGGGTCCATATCTACCTCTTAGACTTTTTACATGCATATATTTTATTCAATTTTTTATAATTAAAATTTATTTTTAGCTAAGAAATTATAATTAGAATAAAAACTTATAAAAAATTTTAAACATATTTTATAAGATGATTAAAAAATTTTATAAATGTATTTTAAAAATATAATTTTCTTAAAAATAACATTGATATTTTAAAAAAAATTATTAAAAAAATGTTCAAATAATTTTTTATGAAAAATATTAAAATCATATTTTTAAACTACTTAATTTTTTTATAAAATATTCAAAAGGGTATAAAATATGAGTAAAAATGGAATAAATTTTTTATTTATTATATTCTAATGTTTCCTAACTCATTGTTCTTCTGAATATAAGAATTTGAACTATGATAATAGATTAAGATAAGTCAATAGAATAAGCAATTATATTTTGTTAATCACTAAATACTGAAAAAAAGGTAGGATCTTATCTAATTATCTTATCATGTAGATCAAATATACCCTTAATAATATTGAATTAGTTGTTTAAAATTTTAAATTAATTAGAAATAAAAAATAAATAAATAATAATTAATATTACAATTCAGTATAAATTAATGGGAATTGAGTTTTTGAAGGAAATGAAAGAGAGGGGTTATATTTTATTTTTGAATTAAAAGAATTGTATAATTATATTAAATTTTAAACTTTTTAGGTTAATTCACATTCAACAACAAAAATTTCCCTTTGCGCAAAACTTTTCTCTTCCTTTTTATTCCCCTGAACTTTTTTTGTTCAGTTATGAAATTGCACCTTAGGAGCTGCTTATTGTATTTATGCTATTATATTATCTTTTGTTATACTAATTCATTGCATACTTTTTACATAGTAATTCTTTATGTAAAATGGAGTTTTTTGTTTAATATATGAAATTTAAAAATGTTATATACTAAAATATGGGGACGTAAGAAAAAGTGTCATTGACAAATTTTTATTGTTGAGTTCTCAAAAATAAAAAATTACCAGTAACATTTTTCTTTCATCTTCGTAATTTTGCAATTCTCTCCAAAATTCTATATTTCAGTATAACATTTTCAAATCTCGTTAAGAAAAAAAACAGCAAAATTTTGGGATAAATTGCCTGACAATCTGACCTTATTATGACTTGGCCCTATATAAATTATACAATTATGTAAAAAAGCGAGGTGGTCAGATAATTTTTATTCATTCATTTATTTTTTTTATTAATTCTATATATTCAAATTGGAAAATGATAAAATAGTGGCAAAGACCTAATGACACTGAGCGTTAAACCTAGTAAAACAATACTTTCAATAAAATAATATTATGTAATCATATTTTTATTTTATTAAAAAATATTAATTTAATAATATATGTATAATAAATAAAAGAATTACTAGTTTATTAAAAAAACAAAAGTAGTGTATAAGAGATAATAAAATAATATATTTACTTTTTGTCTTTCTTCTAACTGAATTAAAAATATATAAGAAAAATTGAGTGATTCAGTCTAGTCTAAATAACTTATAATTAGATTAGATTGGATCTAAAATTTTCTTCAAACTGATATAAATAGAATATGAGAATCCTAAACCTTATATCTTAACTTCTTCACATGCTTTGATGTGCTCACACATGGATCACTAAAACAATGTCAAATCCACACTATTAAAGTACAGATTTCAAATAATGAGTCAAGAAAGAATATAAATATATTCATCTAATGATGCAAAAGATGAAAAATTTTGCAAGGAACCTAGACCTATCTATAAGGACAAATCCAATGGCCCTAAGAATCCAAAACAAGAAATCAAATTTTAAGAATTACAAAATGAGGTTGAAATAATTAGAACCAATGAGGTTTTGATTTCAAATAATTTAAAACACTTTCCTAGAATCAGCTATCCATGTATGCTCAACTTTGGCAAATAAAACCAAAACCAAAGCACTTGAAAACAACAAAAATTAGTGAACGAGGTTAAACTATCGTGTTTCGGTTTTGTTGGTAGGAAGAGAGTGACTCCTGCGCTCTTTTCCACCAGGCTTGGATGAGGCATTACCATACCAAATCATTCCAGCCACAGCTATGATCATTCCAAAAACCACATGAAGATTGAGACCCTCCTTACCAAAGAAAAAGAACCCCATGATTAAAACAAGTATTGTCTTCATATGTCCCAGCACTTGAAAAGAAACAGCAGTGAATCTGCCAATGCAGATAAATTGGCTCAGATTGGTACCAACTGCAATTGTGCATGACAGTAATATGAAAATCTGCCAAAACCAAGACAAATAGAGTCACTTAGCCTGTGTTAAGAAAATATTAGCCACCATAATACAGCCCATAAGAGTAACAAGGGTCATGCATGAGTGTGTCCTCGTGATTTAGAATGAGTGCATGCCTAAGATGGCTTTAACAAGCAAGAAGAAGACAATGAAACACCCAGAAACAAGTGTTGATCAGATGGAGGAATGCCCAATATAATTAGAGGTAGAGGAACATCAAGAAAAGCTCCAAGACAAACCATTACAGAGGATTTAGATCTAAATGGTATCTTTGAAATTTTGGCTTTTGACAGAACACAATTGTTTTGTTTGATCCACATAGGGATGTGCTTCCTAAAAATAGAAACCCTCCGAGAAGCTCCATATCAATATATCATAGACTAAATCTAAAGAATTTCCAAAAGTAACAGAAAAAAGGTCCATTTATAGTAGCTAGAGATTTTTTATTTAGAAAATAAAGATCTAAACAAATTTACATAGTGGTATACAATCAGTGAAAAAGAGAATATGGAACAGCCCAGGCAGATACGTATGTTGGTTAAATATCTAAATTAAAAGAAAGACAAACATTGAAACAAGTCATGTATAGAGTTTGAGACTTGGGCATGCAAATAAAACCTTATACACCCCTTGCAAAAGTATGTGAATACATTTGTCGGTCAAAATATCAAATCAATATTGATTTTAACATATCAAGCCATCTACTAAAAGATATATATATATATATATATATATATATCACGTACATCTACATATGAATATACTCATTTTCTCAAAGAAAAAGAATTTTGTAGTCTCTAATCATTTAATTTGATTTTAAATTTTCTAATATCCAGAACTTACCAACGAGCCAGTGTTGTAATCATATCTGTCAACTCTTTTGTTTGTCAACCAATAATCAAGAAAAGGTCCTAATAACAGTAGTGATGCAGCCTGTGCAGGTGCTGTGTGTCCCAATAGGTTGAAAGAACTCAGAGAGTACTTTCGTTGAAGGAAATGAACATACTGCACATTAAAAATTATTTGAAAATCAGTGAGTACTGGGTACAAATTAATAAATAAAAAAAAGATTATGAATAGTAATCAACACAAGTAAACAGCAGGCTAAAATAAGTTGTCTATACAGAGAGGAACGTCATACATACATATTGTTGTAACGAAGTGCTCCATACTGCTATAAAGGCAGCAACGAACCCTTTCGTGTTAACACTCACATCAGTGACAGTGCAAACACCAACACCCAAAAGAACAATACCTATGCTCAATTTTGTGTCTCTTGAATACCGAATCTTGTCAAGAACAACTTCCAATAGACAGGATACAGGAATCATACTTAATTTTGCAATCTGCCAACGGTTAAAAGATGAATATAACTTCTGAAGGCATTAATGAATCAATAGCTAAAGCTCAGCCCAACTCACTTGATAGAATCCAACTGAGTTCCACATAAGACTAACATTCATTCCAACAATAGAGAAGTTAGCAAAGAGAACAAATTTTAGAAGATCCGGCAACGGTAAATGAGAAGCCTGGACATAACCCAGCATCCTTAGTACAATTGTCATCAAAGTTGTAGTAGCAAAGTGCAGACCTGTTAACGTGGTAGCTGCAGGCAATATAGGATAATCATATTAAAAGAAGATAAGAAATTAATGTTAAAGTATAGTCATATACTACCTGGGAAAAGACAAAGACAAAGCAGACTAGTGACAGTAATGTCATTAAGAAAATGAAAAGGGAAGTTACCAAAACTGAAGCCATAAGTGGCCATCAAAGCTTTGTTCACAATGATAATTCCAACAGAAGTAACAACATTGAACATCCATGCAGCTGCATCCACTGCAGCCTTTTTCTCAGCCTTACTAGCTGGAGCCATGTTCTCTATGCTTCTAACAACTTTACTAAAGGTGCTTCCTAACTAAACTCCATAGCATTCCATTCACATCCAAATAACATGCGCCAGTCAATTCACCTAGCAAATAAAGAAGCCAAGAAATGTGGAGAGTCAAGAAACTTTGAGATCTAAATTAAATTATTAAAACAATCAATCATTCTACAAAACCATTTCAACCTAAAATCATCTTCTGGCCATCAAAAAGGGTCAGAAGCTAACAATCATTCAACCGGTAGAAAGTTGACACCAAGACAATATGAAAATGGCTATAGACAGTCCCATTTACAAAATAATAATAAAAAAAGGTGACATGAACAAGATACAATCAAGACTCAGAATACTTTACATATCATCATTTTATGGTTTACAAAATAAATAACCCACATCATATCCATTCAAGACTTTCAAGAAACGTTAGCCTCCATTTTCTCATTCATACTAGGTAAGTTGCATCCTTTGGCTTAAGGGACTATTCACAAAAACTACCCAAATGATTCACCACCCAGAAACAACTAATGTATTGGCCAACTACAAAATGAATAACATGAAGGAGATAACTAACTGTTAAATTCACATCATATCTCTAGAAGCTAGTCCATAGCATGGCTTTCAATTCAACCACTAATGACGTTATGACCAGGTATAACTTACAGAAGTTAATTATAAGAAACATAGTAATCCAAAATTAGCATCAGATCTGCGAGAAACCGATAGATTTAACACAATTTTGAAGACAGTACAACCCATTTGAATAGAAAATGTCTATTCCAATTCTGAATTTGATTTACTAACTGACGGGTGGCCAAAATACATAAAAGAAAACAAAAAAAAGGACTAAATTCATTGATCACCGTTGGCGGCAGCCAAATCAGCTATATCATTCCAAATAAAATTGAACTCTAATCATTCACAGAACCCCGTATGAAGATTTCACAATGCAAAACAACTTTCACCTCTATTCACAAAAATAAACAAAAAGGAGAGAAAGAAGATCAATGCATTCTATTTTTCACATTTATCACAAACAGATCCGGAGAGGGGCCTCAGATCCAGAAAGGCAGCATTAAAAACTAATTGAGAAAAAATAGAGATCAGAGAGGGAACAACCTCGTACTCACAAAATGACATGTTTTTTCTTAGATTTCAACTTCAAATGGCTACCTTTTAAGACTAGACTCAATAAAGGGGTGAAAAAAAATCAACTTTCTTGTGATCCTTGATGGGATGTGAAAATGATGCAAGGAAAAGGATGAATGAGAGCGAAGGAGAAGCTTACCGTGAGTGAAGGTGGCACTATGCTGATGTTGGTAGCCTCCGACAATGGAAAGAAGAGAAGTGTGGCTATTGGTTGTGTGTCTGAGGTTGGAGTTCCTCACTTTTTTTGGTTTTCCCAGTAGGAGTGGCACGCCCTACGCACCCAAGGTAGAGACTGAACCAAACCGTATGTATCTGTTTTGTTTTTATTATTTATTTATTTATTTTGTTTTTTTATGGATTATGTGTCTGGTTTCTACTGCACAATAACAATTGATAAAATGAATTGATTTTAAACATTAACTTTCTTCGAATGTCATTACAGAGTGTAATAGTTATTTCATTTTTGGAAAGAAAGGATTGGAATCTCACTTGCTAATGGATGCATGGGCATATTTTGTTATATATAATTGTGCTTGTATTTATATATTAAATTTGAGATATTTTATAAAATTATATTATATTGTTTCTTCACTTAAAATTGTGTTTTTTTTATGGTTAAATTATATATTTAATTTATTTAGTTAATATTTATTTTTAAATTTTTTTATATTTAAAAAAATTACGTTTTAGTCTATATACAAATATTTTGTTACGTTTTTAACTTTTGTTGTTAATGGTATTTATGACGTTATAATGCTACGAACTAAAATATAATAAAGTATTTATAAATAGACTAAACCAATAATTTTTATTAAGTTAAACAAGTATTATTATAAAAATTAAAAATATATTTTTACTAAAAATAAAAATATATTTTTAGTAAATTTATTTAAAATATTAAAAATGAATCACTAAATAAAAGAATTATAAATTTTAAAAATATTTAAAAAGTTATATATTTAAGTTAAATATCATTTATAATTTAAGATCATAATAAATTTTAATAATTTATTAAATATATAAATAAATTAAAAAGATAATAATTATAGTTAATAAAAGACTAACAATAATTTTTATATTATTAAAAAAATTTATTATAGTTAAAAAAAAATCTTGACATATCTAGTTTTTTTGAGTCAATATAATAAGGTAAAAAAGAGATTCGATATTCTGTTGAAAAGTAATAAAAGACTTTAAAATAAATTTTTGAAATATCATTTTACAATGATTATTTTTAATTATCAAAATTTTTTTAATTTGATTGTTTGAATTTAAAGAACATATAAAAGTAAATAAAACAATATTTAAATATAAAACTTAATTAAAAAGAAATTAAAATAGCACAACATCTAACAATAAACTTAATTAAAAAGAACTTATGACGTATAGTTTCATTTTTATACTTCTTTATGTTTACTTTTTGATTAATTGTAATTTTAATTTCTTTATAATTGTCAATCACTCATACTAAATCTATTACACCTAATGATTATACAATGTTAATAATCTTCTCTCTAAACTATCACCTTCAATGATTATGCAAGGTAAAAAAAAAGAAAAAATATAAAAAGTTTATGAAATGTTAATTTAATAACGATTGAAAAAGAAAAATTAAGTTTAATCCACCTAAATCTTTATCTTATTTAACCTTATAAATCTATTAACTACATGTGATATGATTGCATATAATATAATTAATTATTATGCGTTTAAGAGTAAAGCTGTCAAAAAGTCTATTTGACTCAGCTCTAGCCCTTGTTGTAACCCATATGGGTCAGGACAAAAAGCCCAACAAATTAAAAGTTTTATGGAACAAAAAGTCTTGTGGGCTAGAGTTAGGGTCAAGGCCTTATGGGCCAAAAAAATTTATCTACTTTTAAAAAATCTAGATTTAAAGAAATTCAATATAGATTGCAATAATTATTAGAGTATCTATTAAAAATATTTATTTCATATAATATTTTCTATTATTAACTTGTAGACTAATAAAATTACTTTAAAAAGATAAAAATAAAATAAAATTCATATAATATTAAATATTTATAATGATTATTGTTATTAAATAATATTAATGAAAATATTATTTATCATTAAATTACTTCACATATTTTTTTTAATTTTTATCTATATTATTAATAATTATTAAATAATTTTAATATTTTTTTATAATTTTATAAAAAATATTTAAATATTATTTGAGTACTAACTATAATTTTTTTTCATATTATTAAATTTTTATATTATTATTTTTCTTCACTTATTTTTATAAAATTATTAAAAGTATTAAAGATTTTATATAATTTTTTGTGTAAAGACATTTTATGTGCAATAAGTAAATTCATAGGAAACAAATAAATTTGACAACAAAAAATAATACTTACAAAATTGGTTGAATCAACTAAATGAAAGTTATTATCTTAAAAAAATAAATAAATATTTTCATCATAAAATACTTTATATTAAAAAATTTATTGATGTAAAAAAATAACATGTGAGCATATTAAAAATTGATGAATGTTTATAATTTAACTCTTGGCTCATCATAATTTAATATAATTTATATTTAAATCAAAATAATTTGTGTTTCTAAATTTTTATCTTAACAAAAAATTTGCAATAAAACATAATATAAAATTTTAAACTCAATGCAATATATAAATATAAATATAAATATATATATATATATATATCATAACAATAATTATTATTATTATTATATTAAAAGAAAAATAAATTATTATAGAATATTTAATTTTATTTGTTTTATTAATTTATTATTTTAAACTAATAAATATACGTAAAATTAATTACACTATAACATTAATGTAATATCAAAAACTATTATTGATATAATAAATTAAAACACATAATTATATATTACATATAAATTGATAAATTAACTAATAATTTAATTTTTTAAATACTTTTATTTGTTAATTTATATAAATATTTACACATTATTAAATTTTAAATGTATATTAATAACTATATTTTTTTATATAACAAAATTATATATATATATATATAATTTATTAAAAATAATCATTTAAAAATTTACATATTCATATCTATATTAAAAGTAACCATACCATGTATAAATCTAAGTTATAATTAATCCATAATTATTATAAGTTATTAAAGAATATCAAACATACTATAATAGATTAAATTTTAGTAAATAATTATTAACTAGTAATTTATAAAATACTATTTTATCATTTAATTATTGTTTAGTTAAAATATGTATTATTATTTCTTAATTAAAATTATAAATTATTAACATACCATATTAAACTCAACTACAAAAATTAGACAAATGTAAAAGTAAAATTTAATTTCATTTTATAATAAATTTTAATATAATTATATTTAATATTTTTATGATAAAATTTTAATATAATAAATAAATATTTTTTATTTTAAAATTAATTTTTATATTTAAAATATAATTTTTAATTAATTTGAATATAATTTAATAAATATTATAAACAAATGATATAAAGTTATTAATTACGTTTTAAAATAGATGAGCTAACTCACTCAACCTTGACGTTAGCCAATCATTTTATTAATATTAGGGCTTAGGAGTAAAATAAACTTACTAACACCAATGGAAGTTGATCCAAATGGCAAGCATTTCGGTATCGTTTAAGCGATGTCTTGAGTTTGAGTTCTTATGTATGAAAAAAATCTCTAGTGATAGATTCACCCGCCACATCCAAGTGAGTGGCCTGAGTTAAAAAAAAAAAACCAACACAATATAAATAAATCCATAGTTATTCAAAGAGTAAATGCAAATCCAAATTAGAGAGGTCTTTTTAATAAGGTTTGAAAACCCTTATATGGACGTGTTAGCTAGTGTGAAACTTTATTTTTCAATCAATTTGTGTCCAAAACGTAAATGTGGTCTTCTCATATTAATCTACATAATAATAATAATAATAATAATAATAATAATAATAATAATAATAGAAATTAGTGTAAAAATATGATAAAATAATGGTCACAATAAATATATAGGCTATAAAGAATTCTAAAATACAGACTTATCAAATATGCTTAAATATTTTTTTATCTAATTGATAGAAAAAATTGTAAAAAAAATCAACTTATAAGATTTTAAATCAATATAATAAGAATTATTTATCATGATAGAAAATTTATAAACTCTTTTATGTAATAAAGTTGATCTATTAAAATTTTGAGTAATAGTGTAATTTTACATCTCAAATATTATAAATTTTTTATTTCTTATATGAAAAAAGTGTTTTTCAAATATATTATAGAAGTTGATATGTCATATAAAAAAATATATAGACTTAATTAAATATTTGGTTCCTATAAAAGTTGAACAAATACTTAATTAGGATACTTAAATTTAAATTATGCAATTTCTTTAAAATTATAATTAGTTAAAATACATATTTACTTCCTATATTTGACATGTTTACAATTAGTTTTATACTTAAAAGAACTTATGTTTTAGTCTTTATACTTAGTAAAACTTACGTGTTAGTTTTTATACTTAAAACAACAAACATTTTAATTCATATACAATTATTTTATTATGATTTGGTCTCTTCTATAGTTAATATAATGGCAAGGACCAAAATATAACAAATTTTATATAGAGAGAGTAAAACATAACTTTTTTAAGTATAGAAATTAATTCATAAATGTGTATCTGGAGAAACTAAATATATGATTTAATCTTTTTTTATTATAACACATGTCATGGGTTTTTATGATAAATTAATATTTATTTATTTTTAATTAATTTTATTTTCAAAATTTTATTAATAAATAATTAAATTTATTTAATCAAAGTTGAATATAATAAAATGTTTATAATTCATCGTTAAAAGAAAATTTCATTAACTAGAATAATTTTAAAGATTTTTAAAAATAATTTTTTTAGTATTTATATATAATTATTTATCAATTTGTTTAATTTTGAAATTTTTTAAAATATATTCATAAATTGTACAACTACTAATTAGTTTTGATATATTATTATTTTGAAAGAAAATAATTTTTCAGTGATAACTCATTTATTTTAAAATTAAATAGAATTAATTTGAATAATTTCAACTATAAATTTATATTAAAATATTTTTATTAAAATGTAAAAAATGATTTTTGGCATTAAAACAAACAGAGGCTTAATCTATCCAAATTTTGTCAATTAAGTTTTTACTGTTACGAATTTCATGATTATTTTTCTATGATCGATTTTACTTGTTGTTTTCATGGGTTCTTAATTTCTGAGTCACATTTTTTTTATTTCTATT